AGATTTGCCCAGAAACTTGCTCCCAGCTTGATAGTTTGACCCTCTTAATCCGAATATAGCATCAGTTTACCTCGGAAACGTCCGATACTCTTGCTACTGGGGGCACCAAAGGCATGTATTGGGGTGTAGTTCAGGACGTCCGAGAACGACTCCACGACCGTGCTATCAGAATATTTCATAGCTAGCTGACTTGACACGTCGAAGCACCGCCACGTTGAATCAGATGGGTCCTGATGCGAATGGTACCTATAGCAACGCCTCTTTAACCTATTGCTACACCCTGAGCTACACATGGTGCCAGCATCTGTAGCGCAGGAATCGGGGTTTCTTGACTTAGGGGACACCAGATTCAAGCTCAGCGGGACGAACTACCCGTAGCGGCAACACTGCAGTGAATGTGACCTAAGGCGCTTCGGTAAGGCGTCTGTGCCCCAGACGTCAGGTGTTTTCACGCCACACCTATGTGATAGGAATATGCTAAACGGTCAATCTACTCCCAGGGACAGATTTATGGCCAAGTTTGCTCGCAGGAGCAGATTCCGATGAGGAGATAGCCTAATTCCAAAAAAAAACTCAATTTTTGAAGAGTAGTAGCGTAAATGGTAAACAGTACCCCATTTCCTCTTGAACACATCTCTGTAGGGTGCTCTTAACGAAACCGTGAAACATGGCACCCTTATTAATGAAGTATATCCAAAATTCTCTTCAAATGATTAAAATAGGATTTTTCCCTACAAAATCACCTTGCTTGGGATCACAGTTTTCGCTCCTGGACAGCTAAAAGCTCCTTCAATACCATGCAGCGATAATGAAGGATTACGCCAACGGTTCATCAGGATCTCAGTTTTGTCCTTCTTGAGCAGGCCGCAAGCACTAACATCGGCCCTGTAAAAAGTACTCGAATAACCAAACAATGAATTCCAAATCCAGCATGGTATCTGAGATCTACTGTCAGCAAACAACAAATTCAAAATGTTCACTGACCAAGAAATCATTATTATATACTTATTAACTTACTGGAAAGTATCCATACAAAAGTCAATCGTCTCATAAATCTTCTTCTCTGCTGCGGTTAGCGGAGCAACAAGATCGTAAATGCCTGGGACTTTGATTCTTCCATCTACGTCAGCCAGTTGCGACATCACCCAAACCAAATCGTTCATAGCTTCCGGACTGGAAAGCAAACACAGAGAAAGCTTTTGATCTCCTCAAATCGATATTATATAAAATGATAGTTAGGCGTATAAAAACCTACATACTGCCTCCATACGTTCCGGAATGAAGGTCCTGTTTAGCGCATCTCACTTCAATGAAGTAGTAGCACACTCCCCTGAACAATTAGTATTGTTTATAACTTTACGTATACTGCAAAGTACATACCGTAAAAATCTTTGCAAACGATAGTGCGCGCGACGGAGGCGTAGATTCCAGCCCTGACAAAGCGACTCTCCCACCAATGGTGCCACTCTGAGACCTCAACAACTGGCTGGAAGGACTGTTCTGGTAGTGGCCCACGCACGCCGCTTAAGACGCCCTATCGTTTGCTGGGATCATGGCTATAGAACTCGGAGGGATAACTATTCAGGCCAACATCCAAGGAAAATATATACCTCAGACCATATGTGAGACAAGGTTTGTTTTTCCCAAGCCAGTAATTATCCGAGATACACGTCATATCAACGCCCTTCAGGAAGTTGTCTTTGTGGGTGCGAAGAGCTTGCTCAAGACCTTCAGAGCCAGACTCTTCCATGCACTCAAAAACAAACTGAAACAAAAATAACAAAGTTAATCGCTTTATTGAGTAGGAAAACCTCTATAACGGCAAGTCAGCTGAAATACGAACCTTTAAATTGACTGGAATATCAACTCCTTTCTTCTGAAGAACGCTGATGGCGTGAATCCAAGCAATAGCCGGACCCTGAAAACTCAAATAAAGGGATTCCATTGAACAACATCAACTGATCCATGTTCTGTGATGACCGGGAGCCCGGTGATCCGGACCCTTCAGAATAATGTCCTCGCCATAGTTTGTTGAGAAGCACCTTCGTCAGGCTTGAACTACAGTGTTGTTCGCCACAAATGAAGGGGCGTGTAGGCGGGATGCGATTGGTGCGCCGCCAAACTCGTTTTCTATCAGTTTTGAAGCAAGCAAGCGACAAGACCGTATCGTATCGTTCGTACCAGTCGTTTTCCACTGAATTTTGTCGCTTACCCGCTTCAACAACCGGTCGAGAATGGGTATGGCGCCGGGCCAAACCCGTCCCTTCTGACACGCTGCTTCAACCGCACCCCCCCCAGACAGAAAGACTCTGAATAAACACGATGGAGGAATATTGTAGCCCTGACGAGGTAATTTTTTCCAAGAGCCTTCTGAAGAGAATTTCTGAATATTTTGGCCATTTATGTACCAACAAATAATTCTGCTAGCTTTCCTTGTTTTTGAAGACTACATCACACATTCAAATAGAACAGGTAAAGCGAGTTGCTCACCTTGTCATCAAGTAGAAGTCCCTGACCGAACATCTCGTCACCTCGCGTCAGCTCGAACGGATTTGTGTTCCAACCGTCCATAAACATGGAATAAGAAAGTAAGTATTTACGATGGCTAAAGAAAGTGATGATAGATGTTATGGGAAAAAACTTGGCGAAAATCCTACAGTCGCATAGTCAATAGCGACACAGAAATAAGGTGGAGGATTTCATAGTCCTCACACTACCCTGCCTCGACAGGGCAGATAGAACTTGATACGTGAAGGCACGTGCAACTTTGAGAAATGAGGAGATTCGATGACTTGGGAGACTGCGCGACGTGGAAAGCATAGGTATTGATCGACGACTGCAGAGATTGAGCGGCCCACTGATTTGGGAGACTCGACGTTTTGCGATTGCACCAAAGGAGGCGTCGACCGCTAGCGATTGCGAAGGTTCGGCAAGCCGGCGATCTCCCGAAACGCTGGATCGCTGAATCTCCCTCATCTAGATCGCTCAGTCTCTCCATACGGTTGGATTACCGAATCTCCGCAATCGCTGGTGATTGATACCCATACACTCCTTCGGTGCGCAAAACACACATCGAATCTCACTAATCGCCTGGTCGCTGAATCTCTGCAGTTGACAGATCGATACCTATACTTTCTTCATCAGACAGTCTTTCAAACCGCTGGATCTCCTCACAAGTATGAACGCGGCCAGGGGACAATCATAGCAATACTTCGCATCAGTGCAAATGGTGATCGCATAGTCTGCTGCTACAACGAAAAAAAAAACAAGTAACAAAACAAACTTCCTTGGCAGCAGGCTGGACATCCAGATGACCATAGATGAGGAGAGTCTTCTTTTTTGGGTCGGTACCTGAATTCACAATAGTTAGACTGGGTCTTCCAGGTACATCCTAAGTGAAATGAGTCAAAATTTCAAGGGAATATGACTCTCGTACCACGTATACAAGAATCAACAAAATAGTTTGTCTGTGGGCTATCATGAACCCTTCCGTGGAAAGGGCACATGTGAAGATGCGGCTTAAGTTGCCTCCACCCTAAATACGATGTTCCCGCCCATTCAATAATCGCGGTCAACTTCGATCGAACCGGATAAGAAAGCAAGTGATAACGATCGCAGTTGCGAGCGGGTTAATAGTGCAAAAGAGCTCATATCGTTACGATACCCACAAGTGAGAACTCATTAAAAACGCGCTCTTTCTGGGGTATGTTGCGCTTTTTCTCCGGGAACGCGCCCCGCACCCGCTGCTTCTTTTGTGAACGCCATTACTCGCATCTTGCCATCGTGCACTGGACTTTTTATACGCGATTGCTTGGTTGCTGCGAAAAGTAAACTTTAAAGTAATAATTTGAACTCTTAATACGCTCTCACCTAACACACCAAAGAGGATCGGAGGCAAGTCGATCACTCTGCCATCATGAAGTTTCTGCTTACCAGCTTCGATAACTTGCACCGAAACTTTGACATCTTCCAGCTTCTGTAAAAAAAGAGGCATTGGGACAAAATGTAGTAATAGGGCAACCTTGTTCATCTGAACTTCAAAGCAGAATCCGAAATTTTGAACTAACAGGAGTTTAGGAACTTTACAGAATCATAGAAAAACGAAAAAAGCAGAAAAATGATCTTTGACTCATATTTGCTGCGTTACCAATTGGAGTGCTTCATAGTGCATTTATACTCTCTTTTGAGAGTCCGCCAGCTTTCGAGAGGCAAGGGAGTGAATGGATATCAAGCCAACGTTCTGAGCGTCCACCTGCGCTTTCAGCGACTTGGAATGTATAGGTATCGATTATCGATGAAAACGTTGATGACCCTCGAAACGTTTAAACCGCTGGCGTCCCTCAAAAAACAGGATCCATGACTATACCTCCCTAGTCGCTCGAAACGCTGGTGGACACTCAAAATGATGGATCGATACCTATACTTTCCCGGTC